TGGAGTTTTGATTCAATGGTTATGAAGAGAAAAGGAGGATAGTGGAGGGAAGAGGATGGGAAGGGTAGTGGAGAGGATCCAATTCCAGACGACTTGTCTTTTGTGACGTGATTGAAACGAAAATGAATCAAGAAAGCTAAGCCAAGTAAATTGTTAACAAATGAAAAATATTAAATTATCCTCTTTATTCATTTGAGTTGACACAATTGTTTGTTTGAGTTGAAGTTAAAATTATGATAGTGTTGTCAATGTTTTTTTTTTTTTGGATACAAGTGGCAAGGTCAGAGCCTCGAAAAGCAAAACAGAAAAGTCAAGAGAAAGACAAAATCGCAGGCCTGTTAGAATAGCTAGTAGTTCTGTTGCTGTTGGTGGAAAGAATCCTAGCTTTTCCATGAACCCATTGACCCATTGTCAATTTTTTGTCCAGCTGTTACAGAAGAATTTTGGACCGACAAAAACGTATGGTACGCTCATGACAAGACCAATAAGAATAAGGTTTGGTGAAGAGGGGCACATAACGCTTTTTCAACTCTTTTTTTATTTGTTCAAATCTAATAATTTATATATTATCATAATGTGAGATCGAATGGAAATAAACTATTTTTTTATGACGAACTAATAAATTTATTTTTATCATGACAAGTGTGGTATTGAATTATTCTAATTTAAATGCTACCTCAAACCGTCAAACACACGAATTTCTTGCAATAAACCATACCCATATGGTGACAGTGAATGAAGACTTTTATCTTCCTATTGAATGTATCATACAAATGCACAATACAAAATAATTAACGGTGAAAGTGTAAATTTGTCCTGAAATTTTTTATTAATTTTGGGTGCAAATTTATTTTAAATATTTAAAATTATGATAATATTGCTCTTTATCATTAAAAATTAATAGTATTTATTAAAATGATAGTATTGATCGTTAATATTTTTAACAGTATGAGAACAATATTGTTATGATATGAATTTGCACATTAACCCATAAATAATATATATGCAACAAAGTATAGAATGCGAAAGTTTATTTGATACTATAAATGAAAGAGAAAAATAAAAAAATAAATTTATTTGATAAAATTTAATGTTCATGCCCATTTTTATTTTAAAAAAAACATTTAAAACAATGAGAATATACTGAGAACTGGAAAATAGTAACCTACAATGTTTTCTTTTCTTCTTTTGGGGAATACCTTATAATGTTTTCTATTACACGATTATTTTTCGAAAGTGGACCAAATGGGGCAAAAGACTGGCATTTGTGATGTGATTGAAATGAAAATGAATTAAAGAAAACTCACAGCCAAATAAGTTGATGATAAATTAATGAAATATTAAATTATCTTATTGAGTACTACTCAAAACATAAATTTAAAGAAATTCTTGAGAAATAAAAAAAAAATTTCTTTTTTTTTTTCCTTGGACCAGCGAAACAAAAAATTTTCAAAGTACATGTAAATCAACCAGAGTTTACTTGATTAGCGTTGACGGTCGACATTGTAAACTGTTGAAGCCAACAAAATTTGAAGACTTTTCAAACCCAAAACCAAAATTTAATTTCTAAGATTCCATTCATTTATCAATCAAACTCATCATGGCAGCACCGACTTTGAATTCTCTTTCTTTTTTTTTCCCTTTAAAATCAATCAAACTAGCTTATGTTCATGAATTGATACTTTATTTTTGTCTCTTTCTATACAGTACAAAAAAACAGTGTATTAGTGACGGAATTTAGAGATGGAATTTTAATTCCTCACAAATTCTATCACTAAAATTAGCGATAGAATTTAGTGATGGAAAATTTCCGTCGCTAAATTAGTGAAAGATTAGTGACGCAATTTTATTCCGTCACTAACTTAGAGAAGGATTAGTAACGGAATCTTATTCCGTCACTAAATTCTGTTACAAGTCCGTCGCTAATTTTGTATTTGGCTAATATTGAAAAACAGCAAGGGAATCTTATTTTGCATTTGGCTAATATTCCCATCATAAAGCATTCAAAGGTTTATAACCGCTTAAGAGAATAATACTAGCTTCAATTCTTAATATAAGAGCTAATTGATTAATTTGAGTAGATTAAGAAAAATAATTAAGTTAGTTATTTGTTATAAATAGATATTGTCTTTCCTAAAATATTCTCGTTAATTAAGTGTATTAGCTAGAACAACTATTATTATAAGAACTACCCTTAAAAAATGGATAAATAGAAGATATAAAATAAATTGGAGTTTTATATTTATGATCAAAATAAAAATTAAATAAGCTCTTATATTAAGAACTATTTCTTTTGGTCCTAAATGGTAAAGCTAAATCACTAATTTATATATATATATATATATATATATATCAAACAAATTTATTAAATTAATTATTTGCAATAAATATGTTTTAATTTTTCAAAATATCCTTTTGGTCATTATCTCAGGAATAAAAATTCTCTTTAATATGCAATCAATAACTTAAAATTTTTTTATAAATTTTAGAGACAAAAGATATTGGGATATCAATTTAAGAGTTAACTCTTACATTTACAACTATGGCAAGAATATTGAAAAACGTCCCTTGCTGTTATTTTTTCTACAATTCTTTGCATCCTCTCACACAAACTTTACAAAAATTAAAAATAAAACAAGCCTTACAAAGAAAGACTCATGTATCCCCCAAAAAAAAAAACAAAGAAAGAAAAACTCATGCCCCAACTTTTTCGGAACCCCTAGTTGTCCAAGTAAGTTGTGCTGAATCAACACCTTGTATTTTTTTGGGTCTTCCATTTTTTTTGACCTGAGGGGTTTTTCAATTTAACACCTTATATTCTAAGTATATACGAATTTTTAAAAGATATATTCACCACATAATTTGGGATGCTCTTGTATGACGGCTCGTTGAACGGTTTCGTTTACGACCCTCTTTTTAATTATGACCATTTGATTGTTTGAATTAACTTGGTTGAAATTTTTGAAGGATTTGAAAATTAGAAGGAAAATGAGGGCAAAAAAATGTATGAATGAACTTCTATATATATAGATAGACATATATATATAAATACATACTTGAAAATTATTTTTTTGGGAGAAATTGGTGGGTTCAAGCACTTGTTATACTCTTTTTTTTTTGTTTTGTCCTCTTTCGTATTTAAAATATTTCATTGACCCTTATTTTTTATTGGATTTTAATGATGTCAAATGAAATAGTAAAACACAAAACTGGTAAAATAGGGAGGAGGAAAAATTAAAAAGAAGATGTTGTTATCTCTTTTGTTTAGATAGACAAGAGAAAATAGAAATGAAAAAATGAGCAAATATCTAAATAACTAAAATATTCTTATCAAAATATATCATATTCAAAATTAAATCAAATTAAATATTGCAATAGGAACATTATACTAACATTAACATTATCAAGTAATTTAAAATCAAGTTATTTGGTTTGTATATATATTCATATTATCATATTGTAAAACCAAATTATTTAATAAAAAGTGAATAATCTTTTGAATATAATAAAAAAATAAATATGGAGAGGAAAAGAGAGGAGGGACAGTCACAAAATCTTATTTTTCTTCCCAGACCTCTCAATATATAAAGAGAAAATTTGAAGAGCAAATGAGACGCGTGACCTATTTTATTTTCTCCCCCACTTTTCTACTCTGCTTGAATGGAAAGAAAAGTTGGGAGGAAAAAAACGGAGGAGAGGAATAGAAGAAGGAAAAACGAGATAGAAGATGTTATCAAAAAACTAGAGAGAAGATATTATTATCATCTTGCTTGGATAGATGAGAGAAAAATAGGGGGGAAAGAAAATGAATAAATAGCTAAATAACTAAAATACCCTTATCAAAATATATCATATTTAAAATTAAATCAAATTAAATATTGCAATAGGAATATTATACTAACGTTAGCGTCATCAAATAATTTCAAATCAAATTATTTGGTTTATATATATTTTCATAGTATTATATTTTAAAAGCAAACTATTTAATAAAAAATATTCTTGTAAGATAAAAAAAATAAAAAAATGAATAATTTTTTAAATATAATAAAAAGAAAATAAATGTGAGAGGAAGAGAGAGGAGGGACAATCAAGAAAATCTTCTTTTTCTTCCTGAGTCTCTCCATATTGGGAGAGAAAATGAGATATAGAGTTTATCTTATTTTTTTCTCACTTTTTCTTCCTCCCATATTTTCTCTCCTATCTAATCCTAAAATCTTGTGCCTGTGATGAATTGGTGGATACATGTATCAATTAAATGAATTTCATTAGGATGAGGATCAATTGAATTAGAATCGATTTTGAAATAATTCATTACATTGATATTTAGAAAACTCATTTCTCCTTATTTTTTCCCCTCTAGTTTTCTTTCCTCCCTAATTTTATTTTAATCCAAGCAAGGGGTTCCTTCCTCTCATATTTTCTCTCATATCCAAGTAAGAAAAGAAATTGATTTCTCTCCATATTTTTTTAATCTAATTTTCTTTTCTCTCTAATTTTCTCTCAATGCTAATAAGGGGTAAAAAAAACGAATAGAAGAATTTATGAACTTACGAAAAAAGGGGTCACAATGTTGTTAATGGGCTACAATGCTTTTAGGCCCAAGGTTTTTATAAGAGGACAAGCCTAGTTGAATGTTAACGTTAAGTAATAAAGCAATTGAGGCTCGTGTTTTGCATGGTCATATTTTCAGTTTTAAGAGTTTGGCAAAAACAAGAAAAAAATTGTTGAGAGTTTAAAATTTGAAATAAAATCATTTTGCTTATTTTAAATTCCTCCTTGCAGCATTATTCTGAACAATCATATATCAATCATAAAGTCTGGAAGTAGAAAGTGATTTTCACATATTTATAAAAACCTAAAATCCTTTAATAGAACAACGAACAAACTAAAAGTTTCTTTAAATCATTAATTAAATGAGAAAGGTTGAATGGTTGATAATTAATTCAAATAACATAAGTTGATGACATGTCTGTACCAGAAAGAAAAATAGTTGCTAATATGTGGAAAATTTTATTCACATGATGATCAAATAGTACATAGCATACAAATGAAGGCAAATCACTTGAAATTCATTAAAAAAAAAGGGAAAGACAATCATTAAAATATACAGTACATTACATTCCAATCACTGACAAGATATTTAAGAAACATGAAATAATAACCATAGTGGAAACATGGAAAAAAAGATGACGCAATATATCACACGAAGCCACATTTTGTGCCTAATTCACTCTTTGATTTTGATGGGCTCTTTTCCTTGTCCTTTTTGCTTGTTTCTTAGGCCTGGCTTGAAAAATTCTGACAAGCTCTTTAGGTTTTCCAGTTAAGAAAATAACTTGACCCATGAATATTCCAAACACCATCCCACATCCATATCCCAAAGCCACTGGTTTCCAACCAAATCCAAATTTGTCATTACTTGACGAAGTTGGTTGTGGTAATTTCCCTTCATCATGATTACATGCTTTTGACAATTGAAATCCACACAGTCCTAAATTTCCCTCAAAAGAATCTTGTGAAAATGTATCAAACTGCTTACCTGTTGGTATTTCTCCGACAAGCTGATTTTGTGAAAGATTCAAAACTTCAAGAAAGTTGAGATCTGCTAGTGCAAGAGGAATCTCACCTTTAAGCAAGTTTGATGATAAATTCAATGATTCTAGGTTGGTCAAGTTTGCAATGGATTGAGGAATCGGACCAGTGATTTTGTTGTGGGAGAGATTAAGCCCTTTAAGTAAATGTAGCTCACCAATAACATGTGGAATCTGTCCATCAAACATGTTTTTTGACAAATCAATGGATGTGAATGTAGTTATGATCTTTACCAACTCCAAATCAACACCTTTCAATGTGACCATCACTGATTCTTGATACTGATAAGATGTATTATGGATTTCCAAGTAATCTAGTGTGGTTGAAACAAAGTCAACATTCATCATTCCTTTAAATTCCTTGATGTATGTTCAAGCCAATCAGGAAATTTGTCATTGATCTTGTTTGCTCCCACATCTAAAATTTGTAATTGCTTGCAATGGGTCAAAGACAAAGGCAATCGTCCCTCAAATTGATTGTTGTTCAAATGCAAAGATTCCAAATAACTGCTCCTAGAAAAATTGTCCGGTATAGATCCAAAAAAATTATTCATCTGCAAATCTAAACTCTCAAGATATGGGAGAGCAAAAGGGCACTTTGGGATGTGGCCCGACAAGTTGTTGTGGGATAAGATGAGTATCTCAAGTGAGCTTGCATTGCAAAATGAGGAAGAAATGTGTCCATTGAATTTGTTGTTGGACACTGAAAAGAATTCAACATCAAAGAATGGAATTGGGAGAGTTCTTGGCAACAAGTTGAAGCTGAGATCAAGAAACCTCAAGTTTCTCATTGAAAGATGTTTAGCTGATGTCAAGTTATTATGAGAGAGATCCAAAGCATCCAAAGAACCATTCCCTACATTATTGAACCATTGGGGAATATCTCCACGAATTTTGTTATTGTAAAGATATAACCCCTTCAAATTTTGAAGGCTTCCTAATTGTTTAGGAAAGTCATTGATGTTGCAAGAGGACAGATCTAACAGTGTAAGATTGGGAATGGTATGGTGAACATCATTATTAGAGCTAAGTGAGAGAAACTTGTTGTTTGAAAGATCAAGATATTCTAGATTTTGAAGCTTTGAGAATTGATGAAGACTAATAGGGCCTCTCAAATTATTTGATGATAGATTCAGATGGGAAAGATTTATGAAACCAAAAATTGACTCAGGAAGACCCTACAACTTATTATCATCAAGATGCAATCGGCACAAATTTGGAAGGCCAATGAATTTCGGAAGGATAGTGATATGACAAGAATCTAAATATAAGACCTTAAGATTGGGAATGGTGTAGTTAAGATTATTATCAGAGGTAAGTGAGAGAAACTTGTTGCTTGAAAGATCAAAATATCCTAGATTTTGAAGCTTGGAAAATTGGTAAAAATTAACAGAGCCACTCGAGTTATTTGATGATAGACTCAAAAGAGAAAGATTTATGAGGGTGAAAATTGACACGGGAAAATTACCTTGTAGCTTGTTGTCAGAGAAATGAAGAAATTCCAAATTTGAAAGATTTCCAAACACATCTAGCAACAAGCCACTAAAATAATTTTGACTGAGGTCCAATGAAGTAAGACTTGACATATTTGGAAGAAATGAAAGCTCACCACTAAAATTGTTTTCTGCAAGGTTCCAATCAGTTAATTCAGTGAGGTTCCCAAAACTTGTAGGAATAGGCCCATAAAATTGGTTACCTCGAAGACCCAAAAAATCAAGAGACTTCAAATGGCCTATGGAATTTGGTAAGAGACCATTAAAATAATTGCCACTGAGGTCCAATGAAGTGAGACTTTGAAGATTTGAAAGAAATGAAAGCTCACCACTAAAAGTGTTTTCTGCAAGGTTCAAATCAGTTAATTGAGTGAGGTTCCCAAAATTTGTAGGAATAGGCCCATGAAATTGGTTCTCTTGCAGACCCAAAAAATCAAGAGACTTCAAATGGCCTATGGAATTTGGTAAAAGACCATTAAAATAATTGCCACTGAGGTCTAATGAAGTGAGACTTTGAAGATTTGAAAGAAATGAAAGCTCACCACTAAAACTGTTTTCTGCAAGGTCCAAATCAGTTAATTGAGTGAGGTTCCCAAGATTTGTAGGAATAGGCCCATGAAATTGGTTCTCTTGAAGACCCAAAAAATCAAGAGACTTCAAATGGCCTATGGAATTTGGTAACAGACCATTAAAATAATTGCCACTAAGGTCTAATGAAGTGAGACTTTGAAGATTTGAAAGAAATGAAAGCTCACCACTAAAATTGTTTTCTGCAAGGTTCAAATCAGTTAATTGAGTGTGGTTCCCAAAACTTGTAGGAATAGGCCCATGAAATTGGTTCTCTTGAAGACCCAAAAAATTAAGAGACTTCAAATGGCCTATGGAATTTGGTAAGAGACCATTAAAATAATTGGCACTAAGGTCCAATGAAGTGAGACTTTGAAGATTTGAAAGAAATGAAAGCTCACCACTAAAATTGTTTTCTGCAATGTTCAAATCAGTTAATTGAGTGAGGTTTCCAAAACCTATAGGAATAGGCCCATCAAATCTGCAACCTTCAAGACTCAAAATATTAAGCGACTTCAAAGGCAAGGAGCTTGGTGCAATGGAAGACATATTTACATTATCTAAAACAAGTTCTCTCAGATCAGTCATGTTTAGAACAAGCTTCTCCCAAGTGGATGGTTCAAGTCTTAAACTCAACCCTTCAAATCGATTCATAGACAAATCAAGAGAGACCAACTTAGACAATTCTGCAATTTTAGGAGAAATTTCACCAGCAAAAATAGAATAGCTTAAGTTTAGATGCATGAGAGTGGAAAGACCACCAAAATGAGATGATATCAAAGACCCACTAAAATTGTTGTGAGCCAAGTTGAGTGTTTGGAGATGAGAAAGTTGGAAGAGGCTATTATTTGGATGGAGTTGACCTTGGATCCAACTACAAGTAAGTTCAAGGCCAATCACATGACCAGACATGGAGTCACACGTGATCCCATCCCACAAGCAACAGTTTGAATCATTTCCCCACGAAGCTGTCTTTGAATAAGATGAGTTCTTAAACTGTATAGTATAACTATTATCATCATCGTGAAACTCATCACACTCCATTGAAGCAGAATGATCAAGAGAGAGAGAGTTTTTAAAATGAAAAAGCGCAATGGAATCATGACAATTACATAATGGGGGGTTGAGAGAAGAAAGGGAAGGAGAAAGAAGGAACAAGCACAAACAGATGGTGATTCGAAATGCCATGAGCGAAGTTAGAAGGCTGTGAATATCAAGGAGTGAAGGATATGGTATCTAACATATGAGGCTTCTTTTATAGGCAGAGCTAAGCATGATAAAAGGTTTGTCATAGTAATTTCCGGCTCAACTCACTTTCTTCTTCCAACTTGGATTGAAGAATTTGATGGGAACTAAAATATAATCAGAATTGATTAAAAAAAAACTAACATGAAATATTCTCACCATTAAAAACTGGTTGGTTTCAGTATATAAACTTTGGGCTTGTAAACACAAATTAATTTTAGTACACTGTGTATTTAATTCTTATAATTCCTAATTGTAAATAGAATTATAAGCCTTTTTTGCCTACCGTAACAGAATTATAAGTGAAGTCTTTTATTTCTATTATTTAACTAACATGAAATACATTCACTGACATGTTGGTCATGACAAACAGATTTGCTGATAACATCACCGTAGCCCTTACTCATAATATAATATTTCTTTGTATTGTCATGGTCAATGAAAATGAAATATTAAAAATAAAAGAAAAAATTGTGCTACCCAATTTTATTTTGCAGAAGGCTTACGTATTACGTATATCTTTTAAATGGAATAGAAATTTTTATAATTAAGGAAAATAAAAATAAGTTCATTATATCATATATATCGAGAGACGGGCAGAGGCTACCAAGAAAAAAGTTATGTTTCCTTGGACATTAAAAAAAATGAAAGACTTATTAAGAGAATTAACTTTAAAAAAAATCTATTTTACATTTTACAACGGAATATTCCTCTCATATACTTATTTTGAAAAAATAAAATCACTTAAAATAAATTAATGCAAATATTCACTTGACTAAACAAATGGTCCTAGCAACACGTCGAACGTGCTTGACTGAACGAATGTTGATTAAACTTTTCCAGAAATTTGTGGCAAAACGTTTTGAAAATTAGTGTTCATATATAATTTAATAATTACTAATATAGTCAAGAAATACGGAATTTTGTGAGGTCTGTCAATTTTCAATTTGATAATTATATTTTATGCTAAAATCAAAAACAGTTTCAATTAAGAACTTGAACAAAGTGAAATATGAGAGACCTTATAACATACTCTTTTGAAAAAGTAATTAAATTTCAAAATTACTATCCTGATCCTTAACATAAGACCCAGTTACATAATTACATGTTACATAATTTCTCTAAAATACTTATGTATATCATTACATTATATATTAATTTATAAAAGTAACAAGATAAATATAAATATATTAAGGTAATTTATTAACTTTCTTGATCTGTTCAAACAAATTAATTAAATCTTATATTAAGAATCAGAGGTACTATTTGAATACAAAGAGGGTGGGAGAAATATAAGAGATTACCATATTATCCAAAAAAAAATTGGCACTATTTTTTGTCAGATTTTTTTCGGCTTTATTTGAATGGTGTGCTAAAAGGTTTGGAAGTGAGAAATTTCAAAATGGTCCTTCATTGTCCAGCTGCCATTAATTCATTTTTGTCCCAAAATTTTGATTTTCAGCATATACACACACAGAAATAGTATACCATAAGTTTGGTATTATAAATTAAAAGGGAAAATGAAAAAATAATTTTGTTTGATAAAATTTAATGCTTATGCTCCTATTTAGAAAAAAATCATTTAAAACAATGAAAAATAGGGAATAATGATTATATCAACATATATAATAAATATGTGTCCTAGAAAGTTTTTAGTTGCGGATTATCTTTCCACAGATAAGCGTACCAAACGGGAAGAAGACTTGCCTTTTTTTTTTTTTTGGTAAAGAAGACTTGCCTTTTGCGATGCGATTAAAATGAAAAATAATAAAAGAAAATCCACAGCCAAGTAAATTGTTAACAAATAAGAAACAATATTAAATTATCTTATTCACTCGTTTCAGTTGTTTTCTTAACCCTCATTAACTCTTTATTATCAATTGTTGCAACTTTAACGCCCCTCAAACCGTTAAACAAGTTATGAATTTCTTGTTATTGGTTAGCTATCCATATGGTGATGGAGAAATTAAAGCAAGACTTTTCTCCTCCCTCTAAATATACCTTACAAGACACGTAAGATAATAAATTTTATTTGTGTGAAAAATGTAATAAATTTTTATAGACAAAAACTACCGATATTTTACTCTGCAAATTCTGTACACACAAAGTATCGGTGCTTTCATTTAAGTCTTTTTCACTAATAAAATTTTCAATTGGAGACTTTGACCCAATTTTACAAAGAAAGTATAGATGTATTGGATATTAGAAATAAAGGAGGGAAATTGAAAAAAAATTACTTGATAAGATTTAATGTTTATGGCCCTATTTATAAAAATACAATATTTGAAACAATGAGAAATGGGGAATAATGATTATATCACTATAATAAAACCCTTACAAAGTTCTCATTTACAGTTTAGTTTTCCATTAGCGTACCAAACGGGTCAGAAGACTTGCCTTTCTTTGCCAATTAATTGTGATTGAGGTGAAAATGAAACAAAAAAAATAAATTTAGAGCCAAATAAATTCTTAGAAAATGAAATATTAAATTATCTTCTTGACCTATTTGAGTTGACTCCTTATGAAGCAAATTTTTCTCTTCAATATGTTGGGTCGAGCCCATGTCACATAGGTTTGG